CCTCCTCCCAGCAGAGAGTCAGGGTTTTACAGCCGTTACTTCATTGTTCCGAAAAAGGATGGAGGGTTGCGTCCTATTCTGGATCTGCGCCAGTTAAACAGCAGAGTTCAGAAACTCAAGTTCAGGATGCTCACACTCAAGCAAATTGTTTCACAGATTCAGTCCGAGGACTGGTTTGTCACAATAGACCTGAAAGACGCTTATTTCCATGTATCTATCCATCCTCATCACAGGAAGTTCCTGAGGTTCGCTTTCGGGGGCGAAGCTTACCAGTATCGGGTTCTGCCGTTTGGCCTAGGTTTATCACCCCGCACCTTTACAAAATGCGTGGATGCAGCTCTGGCTCCCTTGAGACTCCAGGGCATTCGCGTATTAAATTATATCGACGATTGGTTGATTTTAGCTCAGTCAGAGCAGTTGGCGGTTCGGCATCGAGATGTCGTTCTGTCTCACATAAAGGAGTTGGGGTTGCGGCTCAACACCAAGAAGAGTGTTCTCCTCCCTACGCAGAGGACCACTTTTTTAGGTGTAATTTGGGATTCGACCACAATGCAGGCATGTCTATCTCCTGCTCGGATCACTGCGATTCTCACAGCCGTAAAAAATGTAAAACTAGGCCAGTCACTCACTGTGAAACAGTTTCAGACTGTTGGGGCTCATGGCAGCAGCGTCCAACGTGATTACTTTTGGCCTGCTGTACATGAGACCCCTGCAGTGGTGGCTCAGAACCAAGGGGTTTTCTCCGAGGGGAAATCCGTTCCGCAAGATCAAGGTCACGCGGCTATGCCTTCGTGCTTTGGTCATGTGGAAGAAACCTTGGTTCCTCGCCCAGGGCCCAGTGCTGGGAGCTTCTTGTCGACGCGTCACGCTTTCGACGGATGCTTCCCTCACGGCGCAAGGTCTTTGGCAGGACCATCATCTGTCATGGCACATAAATCGTTTGGAGATGATGGCGGTATTTCGAGCTCTCAAATATTTCCTGCCAGACCTGAGAGGCCATCATGTGTTGGTTCGTACGGACAACACGTCAGTGGTTTCATATATCAACCATCAGGGGGGTCTGAGGTCACGTCACCTTTGCAAGCAGGCCCATCAGATCCTCCTATGGGCCCAGGGGAAGTTGCTATCTCTCAGAGCAGTTTACATTCCGGGGCGTCAGAATGTGGGAGCAGATATACTGTCAAGGCAGGGGCTGAGGCCCGGGGAGTGGAGACTTCACCCCGAGGTGGTGGAGCTCCTGTGGGAGAAATTTGGTCGTGCTCAGATAGACCTTTTCGCATCCTCAGATACAACCCATTGTCCCATGTGGTTCTCTCTCACGCACCCAGCTCCTCTCGGACTGGATGCGATGGTGCAGGTGTGGCCGAGGCTGCACCTGTATGCATTTCCCCCGATATCATTGCTCCCGGGGGTTCTGGAGAGGGTTCGCCGGGAAGGGGCCCGTCTGCTACTAATAGCCCCTTACTGGCCGACTCGAGTTTGGTTCTCGGACTTGGTGTCTCTTCTGAACGGCTCTCCCATGGAGATTCCAATCAGGAGGGACCTGCTGTCCCAGGTAGAGGGCACGATTTTTCACCCTCGGCCGGAGTTGTGGAAACTGTGGGCCTGGCCTCTGAGGGGGCCAGGCTCATAGAATCCGGTCTCTCGACTGAGGTCGTTGAGACCATTCTCCATTCCAGAGCCCCTTCCACGAGAAGACTTTATGCGCTGAAATGGAAATTATTCTCCACCTGGTGTGGTGAGCGTCAGTTAGATCCTGTTAACTGCCCTGTTGGTTCAGTTCTCGATTTTCTGCAAGACCGTTTCTCTGCTGGATTATCTCCTTCCACCTTAAAAGTGTATGTGGCGGCTATATCGGCCTATCATACCCCTCTGGGGGGTACTTCTATTGGGAGAGATCCTCTGATTATTCGTTTTCTCCGTGGTACATTGAGGTTGAGACCTGCACTGCACTCTAGAGCACCGGCTTGGGATTTAGCCATTGTACTTGAAGGTCTGGCTCTGGCTCCCTTCGAGCCTATTGAAGAGGTTTCAGAAAAATTCCTCACTTTGAAAGCTTTGTTTCTCCTTGCTATTTCTTCTATCAAGAGAATTGGAGATTTGCATGCCCTGTCGGTTGCTCCTTCATGCCTGGAATTTGCACCTGGTATGGTGAAAGCATTTCTATACCCTAAACCGGGCTATATACCTAAGGTCCCAGTGAATGTTGGGGGTCCAATAGTGTTGCAGGCCTTTTATCCTCCACCTTTTAATACCCCAGATCAGGAACAATTGAACCTGTTATGTCCAGTTCGGGCATTGGATGCCTACGTTCACAGAGCTGCCCTGTGGCGTAAGTCAGAGCAATTATTTGTATGTTTTGGGTCACCCAGAAGAGGGTGCCCTGCATCGAAACAGGTTATGAGCAAATGGATAGTCGAGGCTATTTCATTGGCTTATGAAGCGGCCGGTCAGCCTTCACCTATGGCTGTACGGGCCCATTCTACTAGGAGTATGGCGGCCTCTACGGCCTTAGTTTCGGGTGTTTCCCTTCTTGACATTTGTAATGCGGCAGGCTGGTCCTCCCCGCATACATTTGTCAGGTTTTATGACCTTGACCTCTCCACTCCTGGGGCGAGGTTGCTTGCTTCTTAGTGTGCGCCAAGGACTTCACACAGAACGGGCATTTGTCACTATGGCGTAGTGGGTATGGGGTTCCCACCGCGTCTCAAACGCAGCTCGAAGTTCCCTTGAAAGGGAACGTCTCAGGTTACGTATGTAACCCTGGTTCCCTGAGAGGGAACGAGACGCTGCGTTTGCCTGCCATACTTCCTGCATACCCTGATCGACTTACTTCAGACTTTTCAGAAGCTGTCGCGGTCTGTTTTCAAGGGTGCTTTATAGTTTCCTGGTCTATGACGTCACCTATGACGTATCGGGCTTCCATTGGACTGATTTTACACGTGCTTCATGACGCAATCACGCAGAGCGTTCCCACCGCGTCTCAAACGCAGCTCGAAGTTCCCTTGAAAGGGAACCAGGGTTACATACGTAACCTGAGACGTTTTTATTAACACCCGCCAAAATGAATTTTAACCCGCATTTGGCGGGTTGGCGGGTGTTAATTTAGAACCCTGCACAAGACACTTAAAAATTCATGAAAACACAAATGTGGATGTTGCTAGGGCTCTGGCCTTGCCGAAGCATTCCAAGGAACGTAAAAACCTGCTGGACAAACTACGAAATAAAGGAAATTATGATCATAATGCAAGTGTTTTAGCCAGTGGATCTGGGCAATTAAAACTCAAACGTAAACCGAAGAACAATTACAATCCAAATGATTATGTGAATTGCATGTATTGCCATGCAATGTTCCTACGCAGAGATCTGTGGAGACATGTACGGAACTGTCCTTCTAAGTCAGTGGATCAGGAACAACCAGGAAGAAATAAGGTACTGGCTTTAGCGACAATGTCTGATTCAGTTCTGTGTCAGAAAACTTCACAGAGTGTTTGGAAACTCCTAACACCAATGAAAGATGATGACATCTCTGCTGCTGTGCGGAGTGATTTCACTATCCTACAGCTGGCACAATCATTTTTAAATAAACATGGCCAAGATCCGTCTAAATATGATTACATCCGACAGAAGCTAAGAGAGGTTGGAAGGCTTTTGTTGATCCTGAGAAAGCAATTTTCATTGCATACGATTGAGGATGCTGTTAAGCCTGAACATTTTGGGATTGTTACACAGGCTGTCAAAAGAGTATCTGGGTATGATGCAGCAAAACACACTTACCACACTCCAAGCCTTGCGCTTAAGCTGGGTCACTCTTTGAACAAGTTATGTGATATCATACACTGTAGAGCGTTAATGGCTGAAGATGATGCAAGGATTAAGTCAACCCAGAATTTCAAAAAGTTGTATAATTCTAAGTGGTCGGAACGTGTGTCTCATGGAGCTTTAAAGGGACACTATGCAGCTTTTTTAGCTTAACTGAACAGCTTCAGAGTTATTGAAATGGTTATATAACTTCTTTCGGGTTGAATGGTGGGCGTCTCGACCCCCCCTGGTGCCTGTGAGCGAAAAAAACTCACTTGCAACTTCGGTGCGGCGGGCCGCGTCAGGAAGTATCGCGTGATATCAGCTCTCGCGATGTAACATATTCCTTTACGGCAACTGCACACATACACACAGGAACAAGGTATAGATGGATGGAGTTTGTCACACTATCGTCATGGCTGAGCCGGCATATAAGATGCAGAAAGCTAGGAAAGCATTGTCGGAGGAACAGAGAAAGAGGAAACGGCAGACTGACCGAGCGAGGAGTCGGACACGAACATAGGCATAATTTGCGGGTGTGTTATGTCCCCATTGAAACTTCTCGCGGCACGGATGTAACGTTACCATTACAAACAAATAAAACATCTCCAGGTAACTCTAGTAGAGCATTCATTTCGTTCGTTTGTTAAATAAGAGGCGATCTGAAATGTGTTATTTTTTAAATCAAGTGACCAAAGTGCTCGTTGCCTCTGCGATCAGTGGTGCAGATAAGTTACAGTGTTCTGTTGTGACGCGCGCCTGAATCCGTTGCGGGGACTGAGAGACTCTCTATATTTTGTTATGGTGAAATCACAAAACCTAATGCACAAAAAACATGTCCCTGCTTGAAATACAACCACTAATAAACAATCGGTTTTGATGAGGAAAATAAACTATACTACTAGTACCGACTAGAACCCAGAACCTCTGACACACTTGGCAAAAGTTCTGCCTCTGGACCATTAAAATTGTCGGATCTATGTATTTAATCACGTGAAAATTCTCACCACTAACAACATATATTATATCTCATTAAACGACAAATTAAACACAATGTACTATTGTATACTATGTAACAGGCCATGTCACGCTCTGAGTGAGTGGTCTTTACGACAGTAACGTTAAATTCAAGCACTCCACAGTAACTCTAAGGGTCGCTGTTTGACAAAAAACGGGATTTCTGCATAATGCCCCTTTAACCACTTTACATGAAGGACATTTTAATAAACCATCCACCCTCCCGTTTACTGAAGATGTTCAGCGTCTTCATCAACATCTTGAAATGGTCGCTGATTTAGCTTCTGACAACTTGAAGTAGACTGCATCCACAAAAGTCTATGGAGAACTGTGCAGATCGACTCTTGCCAAAATTATTCTCTTCAATCGAAGGCGTGGAGGAGAAGTTGCAAGGATGCACTTAAAAAGTTTCTTAGAGAGGGACACAGCTCCTCTTCACAAAGATGTTGCTGTTGGCCTTACAGCGTTTGAGCAGAAACTTTGTGCACACTTTAGTCGAGTAGAGATTAGGGGTAAAAAGGAGCGTAAAGTGGCAGTATTGCTATCGCCAGACATGGTCGATGCTTTAACACTTCTCATAAGCAAAAGACAAGAGTGTGGAGTTCCACAAGACAATACATTTCTTTTTGCAAGACCCAGCTGTTTGACTTCGTATAGAGGACAAGACTGTCTCAGGATTTACGCAGATGAGTGTGGTGCTCAGAACCCTGAGCTCCTCCGGTCAACTCAGTTGCGAAAACATGTTGCAACTTTATCACAGGTCCTGAACTTAAAAAACCGTGAGTTGGATCAAGTTGCAGACTTCTTGGGCCATGATATACGTGTCCACAGAGAATATTACAGGCTTCCAGAGGCTACAACCCAGCTGGCCAAAATTTCTAAACTTCTACTTGCCATGGAGAAAGGTTCTCTTAGAAGTCTTCAAGGCAAAACACTAGAAGAAATTGACATTGAAGGTAAGTCTATTAAAGTAAAAAACAAATTGTTTAGTGTATGGTTTATAGTACATTTTATTGTAAAGTTTATCAAGTGAATTGGCTAAGGTACATACAGGCAATATATCTTTACCAAAGTAATAGTTTTCCGAATGGTCATTATGTGATTATTTTATTTGCTCCTGACATTTGCTATACTTAACTTAACACTCAAATTGTTTGTTTTTTTGTTAGAAAACCTAGACTTAACCGATTCAAATCCAAGTGATGACAGTGATGCTGAGGAGACAGATCAACTAACACAAAGTGAAATTGGTAAAAGTGCATAAACATACAAATGGCAAATCATTAAAGTCAAGTTTACCATATGATACACCACTATGTACACCGATCAGGCATAACAATATGACCACTGACAGGTGAAGTGAATAACACTGATTATCTCTTCTCCATGGCGCCTATTAGTGGGTGGGATATATTCGTCAGGAAGTGAAGATTTTGTCCAGAAAGTTGATGTTAGAATTGTGAAAAATTAGTAAGTGTAAAGAGCGAGTTTGACAAGAGCCAAATTGTGATGGTTAGATGACTGGGTGAGACCATCTCTAAAGCTGCAGCTCTTGTGGATGTTCCCAGTGTGCAGTGGTTAGTATCTTTCAAAAGTGGTCCAAGGAAGGAACAGTTGTGAATCAGCAACAGGGTCATAGGCAGCCAAGGCTCATTGATGCATGTGGGGAGTGAATGCTGACCTGTGTGGTCCAATCCAACAGATGAGTTACTGAAGCTCAAACTGCTAAAGAAATTCATGCTGGTTCTGATTGAAAGGTGTCAGAATACACAGTGTATCACAATTTATTGCGTACGGGGCTGCAAAAGTTGGACCAACATAATATTAGAAGGAGGGTCATAATGTTCTATTATGATCGGTGTATATTAGCCTGGCTAACGTCAGACCCAAATGTTAATTTTCTCGTATTTGAGGTGTGGTTTACGAATGCCCAGAGCCGTTTATTGGGTGCTAAGAATGTCTATCAAATGCGCCTGTACCTAGCTCATAGCCAATCGTTTCAATTATACCAGATGACGTATGTAGAGCGACAGAAATTAGACGATGGGTCAGAGATTTATGTGTACACGATGGCGTGTATCTAACGGCCGTTTCACACCGCATGCGTGAGCGACTCGTATTTTTTTCGGCGTGCATGTTAATCAATGAGTGCATTCACACCAGGAGCAGGAGCACTGCGTGAGCGTCGAGCAGGAGCAGCAGTGAAGCGGGGGTTTCGGCGTCGAATCTGTTTTTGCTGCACTGCTCACGTTAAATTAAGGTTTTGATGGACAAAAATAAATATGATTTCACACAAAAAGTGCCCAAAATGCACAGAATAAGCATGTCTAGTGAGTTTTAACAAGAACTTGAGTAGGCAAATAAAAGAAAATAAAGACTCAAAAATATTTATAGAAGATTTAGGCTACCCGGTAAAAACTTGTTTTTAATTATTCAGTTTGGGTGAAAGTTGTGTATTATATAAAAAAAAAAAAAAAGTAAACTAGACAGAAAATATTATATATAAACGTTCTTGTAGTTTATGTAACACAGACAGCTACATAGGCTAGCACAACCCAAATCAAACCCGAGTGTGTGGTTTATTTGTGTTTTGTGTTTTATCCGCGGAGTTGCAGTCTTGTAAACATCGAAAGTATGACTGAAACTAATAGATTGGAGCCATTTTCTGGGTTGTTTTGTTGTTTAACATTTATATGAGAATGTTGTACACCTCCCCATTACAAACTTTCAAGACTATCAATGTTATAAATTACCAACTTCTAAAAACAAATGTATAGTTGTCTTTGTATAGAATTGCTCGCTTATGTAGCTTTGGAGCTGCTGCTGTGACACTGTACGTAAACGCTTCCAGTGTGAATACTGACGCGCTGCTCAAGTGCCGCTCACGCTTGCGGTGTGAAACCTATGTGTGAAACGACCAGGCTGCATCGAAAGGTAACTTCGCGTCTGCTGCCATGTTGGATCCATAGGTATAAACAAACTGCTTTGGTGTGTCGCATAGACGTCGTCATCGTCTTGCTGCTCCCTCCCCGTTCTGTGATTGGTTCCCTCGCTGAGGCGGAAATCTGGTCCATGGAATCCAGACTGCCTAGCAGCGTGAATAAAATCGCGCTGCAGCATGGGGAAACCCAGGCTAGGTGTATATACATATAGTATTAACATCCCAAGGTGGGAAAGCAATTAGACATTAATCTTACAAGAATGGTAAAATCTTCCCTAATAAAAAACCAGCAGGCCAAAACAGCCACTCAACACTTTAGTCAAGACTAGCAATCATTCAAACAAGGCTAGACCAAAGATAATTATTAGACTGGTTAAAAGAATAGGGAGATGAGATCTAGTCATCATGGTGTTTTCTCTACTTTATGCTTGTATATAAATAAACATGTGACACCATAACCTTAATAGTAAACTATATTATTCATACCACAGCACTAAAGCGAGTAAGGCGACCTGTTGAGGATCTTCCAGGCACCTCAGATGGTATGGGCATTTATCTCATTTAACTAGCATGTTTAGCAAGGTTTGATTCAGTTCATGTAGACCAAGCAGTGCCTACTGTATGTTACAGTATTTTATTATTCCTTTCATAGATGATGACGCTGCCTTAGAAAGCCCATCTGCAGGTAAGACAAGACGGAAGTTTTTAACTACTAATCAATTTTATGGATATATAAATGTTAGTTGAAGCTAAAAATCAGTGGCATATAATCTAGATTTTGGTCTGGATCACTTTTTGCATTTGGTTGATTGATTTAAATTAGATGTACATTTGTTTCTGTTTTGTTTTTAAGCAGTTTACCGAAAAAGTAAAAAGAAGGAAAAGTGCAGCAATAGAGAAGAGCATGAACAAGCCGGTAAAAAACACAAACAAAAATGCACAATGAACACTATTAGACAATCGTGAAGATCAAATTTAAATTCCTTTACAAAAATTGTAAAATCTACCTACATACCTGCTTCCCTACAACAGGCCAAAACAGCCACTCAACACTTTAGTCAAGACTACAGGGATGCAAACAGCGCGCTTTTCGGCGCTTTTTATCCCGCTTTTTTCACGTCAGTTTAGGTGACTTATGTGAATCGTGCAGATCCGAAGAGTTTTTTTAAGGGAGGGGGAGGGGGGGTGTATGCTCGCAAGCATGAACCACTAGTGTTTCTGCTTGCTGCGTATCTTTTACTGGGGTTTCCAACACGTCGCTTGCGAGCTTCCAGTATTTTGTGCCCTGATTGGAGGTAGCTCGTCAAGGGGCCGTTCACATATCGTGTCTTTTGCGCGCTCAAGTGCAGTATTTCAAATGTAGGTGCGCGGCAAGATGGCTCATAATTGAAGCGACGCGTTCATTTTTCCCAGGCGCAGCGAGATGAAAACACCTCAACTTTTCAGAATACCGCGATTATATATCTAAGTATTATATTGTTAAATATATAACTATATATTAGGCTACTATAAAATCCTGAAAATATTTTAGTGTAGGCCTACCTTACCTATCATGCAGAAATTCTTGGCTCTCCTTCTCGAGACAAAACAGGTTTTTTGGTTGGCATCTTTGGGATATTCGCCCTCAATAAGATATTTTTTCAATTCAAAATACTTGTCAAAATCCATATTGTTGTAAAGATTGCATCGAAACTTATGCCTATAATAAAAATGAATGCGCACAAACTTCTCGTTGGATGTTTGGACCACATGTGACCTGCCTGCACGAATGGCAAACCGTTATATTAGAACCTTCGAAAAAAAAGTGAATATACAAATACACAGCCCTTTTTTTTTAAAACGCATTTATTTATTCCATATTTTGACTACATGGAATTTAAATTATTATGTGACAAGCAAATAAACATTTGTATTATGAATAACAATAATGTATATACTACAACTGTTTATTTGTTATTTGTTAACACTGTTTATCAGTTAAAAACACTGATAAACAGTGTTAACAAATAACAAATAAACATTTGCAATAAATAAATGCATTTAAAAAAAATTACTTTGTATTTGTATGTTTGTTCACTTTTTTCCCGAAGGTTCTAACATACCGGTTTGCCATTCGTGCACGCAGATCACATGTGGTCCAACATCCAAAGAGAACTTTGTGGCATCCTGAGAAGGAGAGCCAAGAATTTCTGCATAAAATCAATGTTTCTATTATCTTTGTTGATACAGATCCAGTGTGATGTCTGTGCCCGTTGGTTCCACATGAAATGTGTTGGGGAGCCCGACCCCAAGAAATCCTACTGCTGTTCAGCATGCATTTAAAATATATTTGTTTTTTTTGTTTTGTTTTTTGCTTAGTTCGTCAAATTTGTAAATAGTTAATGTTTGAAATCAATGTTTCTAATGTTTTAAAATATTTTAATTATTAAAACATTTCATTATAAAATATTGCAATGGTTTTATTTAAAACACTTCCTGTCCAAAAGAAAAAATAAGTTGCAAAAAAATAAATAAGTTGCAAAAAAATAACATCACATTCATTATAAGTGAAATAGAGGAGGGTAACAGAATTCGGTGACCATTAAAATAGCCTTATCATATTTGGTGACCCTACTGTATGTCTGCTTCTGTTCATGTCAGCCCAAAATGATTTCTACTGTAAGAAGCTGAAGAGTTCACACATCATCAGAGTGAATTTGGAGTGTGTCACATTCATTATAAGAGAAATAGAGGAGGGTAACAGAATTCGGTGACCATTAAAATAGCCTTATCATATTTGGTGACCCTACTGTATGTCTGCGACATACAATTCGGTGACCTTTACAACTTGTTACAGCAATTTTTAGTGATTTTTTTGTATTATTATTCTGTTCATTCATATAATAATTTACACAAAAATAATCTTTTTGTGCCATACATGTCTTTCATTGACTACTGGTTCAACAAATTAAATATATATACTAATAAATAATATCCAATATAACATATTATTCTGAATAGCAAAACACACTGAGAAAAAAACTTTTCCTAAACGTGCACGGACGTCAGGGCCGTTCTCTTCTTGCGTGAGAACATAAACATTAATGAACACGGAAACACACGTAGTCGGCTACTCTGAAAAAAAGAAAAACACATTGAGCTCAATCTGGGCAAGCAAATAATCATTTATTGTGTAAATAACCATCATTTCTAAACAAACGTTTCGTAAATACCTTACCTTTGGCTTATAGTCAGAAGTTACGCTGTTTGCGTAGATCACGCAGCACAGTGACAACCGCGCCCACTACGGTCACAGACTATGACGGTCACAGATTCTGGTGTAACACCGGCTCTGCGTTTCAGAATGGACTGCACTGACAGAGAGAACGCAGAACGCGCATCATGTTTATTTTTCTTTATTAGGCGAAAAGCACAACACTTTGTTTTTATTGTGAGGTTCCACAAAAAAAAATACAAACTTAACAGGATCGAATGATGTACAACACTTATATGTAAGATCAAAACCAACAGAGTAATTTGAGTCTCTTTTGCACTGATAAGGAAAAAAGTGAGCTGGTATCGCCGGCGAGACCGGCGACCCCAGAGGGTTAATGTTTTAAGGGAAAATTCAATACACCTAAATTGAGTAGTAAGACTGATATTCTTGAATAATAGCAGTAGTATAATTATTATATATAATTATTATACATAAATAATACGTAGTAGTTAATGACTACTGTCAAAAATATTTAACAGAATAATTTTTGTATTATAATTTTTATTAGTTTTTTTGTTAAAGATGGTGTAAAGGAAGTCTGCCATGAGTGCTCTGGAGTTGTTCCCGTTTTTGACCTGGAGAAGCATATTCAACAGTGCAAAAGGTAACCTCAGTTCTATTTAAAGACAGTTATGTCTTCACTATAATACTAGATCCACTTTGTTGTATGAATTTGACCAAATACTCAACATTTTTGATACCTTTTTGTTTTCAATGTGCATTCAAACTGATTTTCTAATGGTTGTTTACCAAAAAAATAATGTCTAATGATTGACATGGTCCTCTTTTTTGCACCCCATTTGTGTTACTGATTCAGAAAGTAAATAATAATTACATTTTACATAGCCACAGATAATCTAAAGTTCCAATTATTTGCCCATACCTCCATTTCATCTACTGCACATTTCTATACACATGAAATATTACGTCACATGACAATTAGGCCTAGACCTCATAAAATGCAATCATTGTCACTCACCTAATGCAAAGGTTGGTATTGTTTAGCATTTACTAAGCGCTGTATGTCGGGCTGAGGTGAAGAAAGTTGCAAGCTGAGATCAGGCTCGACGTGAAGCTTATTCCGGTATTTTGTCTCGAGTGCCTCCAATGCAGACCAACTTTGCATAAGTATGTTGGCGGAAATGGTATCAAAAACCTCAGAACTTTATCAGAAAGTTCAGGATACTCATAGAGAGTATGAATCCAAAAATCCGTCAAAGATTTTTGAGAAAACATTCATTTTAAAGCACTGTCACAAGATATGTCAATAATGCTGGGGTGCTCTTTGGCTCTTACACTTGCGACAGCTCCCTCACACAAGTTTACATAAATGGTAAATGGTAAAAACCCTGTCACTGATTTGCCTTGAACACTCAAATTTACTCAATATAGGTACACTCTCAAAAAGGATGTGTTAATTAATAACACATTTTTTGTGTTATGGCTATTTTAACATATTTTGTGTCATTTTAAGTTGATCATGTGTAAAAAGAAAGAGAGAGAGAGAGAGAGAGAGAGAGAGAGAGAGAGAGAGAGAGAGAGAGAGAGAGAGAGAGAGAGAGAGAGAGAGAGAGAGAGAGAGAGAGAGAGAGAGAAACACCACATGTACGGGTATTTTCCGTAGAGGCGAGAGGCAGTGTTGAACAAGGCAGCAACCGCGCATCTGATAGTTAAAGTTAGTGCTTCACAAATTATTTTTATTTCTCCTCAGACTTTGGTAGGTTTGTCCCTCACTTTCTAGAGAGAACTCATTTTTAACAAGTTTTATTTTTCTTTGTTTGATTTGTTGCAAATGGCATGATGTCTGATAAAACGATGCTGCTCGTTAACGAGTTTGACAAAGTGGTAACGTTACCACTTTCATTCCTATCTGTCGCCTCTCTTTCATTAAACAACAGAATGTACTGATGTTTTGTTAAATGCCCTTTAATAATAACATGATTTATCAAGGTAACGGTAAAAATTTGATTGACTTCGACAATCTAGTATTTCTCCATCTCAAAAAGGATGTGTTAATTTGACTATTTTAACACAGTTTGCGCATTTCGTGTATTTAATTGACACAAATTGTGTAATAATAACACATTGGTGTGTAGAAAATTAGCAGGAATAACACATTGTTGAGTTAAAAGTAACACAAAATGTGTTGTCCTCAACACAAGTTGTGTTGTTTTCAACATCCTTTTAAGAGTGCATTGTAATACGAGACAAACAGATTCGGAATTCGGAACCGCGTATTACCACACTACTTTTAATATTTTTTTAACATAATATATGGCAGAAATAGTCAAAGTAGTATGAAGTACCAAATTCAGGAAGACTCTTCATTTGGACGACTGGTTTTCGGAGATCAAAAGATTGCTTTAGGTTTATCTCGGAAGTTTATTATGCTAGC